CGTCACTCCTCCTCAGTCCAGATATGGTCACTTCCTGTTTATTGGTTGCAAAAAAGTCAAAATGGCAAAATTGCCGAACTCGAGGCTTCAAAAACGTCCACAAACCAATGAGTGTCGTCACGATGACTTCGTCCACCTCTTATAAACAGTCTGTGGCTTTTGAGTTTTGAAAGAGCACACAGCTGCCCAAATCAAGTATTTCACGATCTTTTCCTAAAGTAGTTTTGTTGAAGTTTATTTTGAAAAGACTGTATGTATATAACTACCAGGAATTCACACGCGTAACTGTCGTAGGAAAGATTTCATACAAACCAGTGTCATAGGATACGTTGTTCTGTGCGCTCTCATCCCATGCACACACTTGGTTGTTATGTGTGCAGGGTTTGAGACTAGTTAAACGTAACTTTGCTGTTTCTTATTTAGTCTGGACTGATGCATGAAAGAGCTGCTGAGGCCCTCAGTCCTCTGCTGAACTGAACTGGTCTGATTCTCCTGAATCTCCAGCTTATGTGTAAAACACAGTGACCTTTATTTTGAAACCACTTGACATTGGTCAGTGGGAACCGATCGGAAGCAAACATGTGCAACAAAGCAGGAAGCGTCTCTCTGGATGCGTCAGCACTTTAGATATTAGATTCTGCCGACTGTGTTTGTTCAGCGCTGACGCGTGGAGAGATGAGTCGACGAGCAAAAACAAATGTTAGCCAACGTCCCGATAACGTGGATGAACAACGAGCCGCATAACCGAACCATTTGTCTGAAAGCGGCTCGTTGGAGTGATGTCGCTGTGTGTTTCCTCCACGCCGTGTTTTCTTCTTCTTCTTCTCTCTAGACGATGTTATTGACTCCGGGCCCCAAGTTGTGTTTGTCTGTGTCATTACGTTTTCTCCCAGCCTCCCACATGCATCGCTGGTAGAGAGGCACCTGAAAGCAACATGAAGGAAAGATCACTCAGTCATCCGCTCGCTCACTCACCCGATTCCCTGCGTGCTGATAGCCACTTAAGGGGGAAGCCGGGCCCCAGGGCTGTGTTTTGGCATCCTGGCAGGTGCCATCTGTCAAGCGAGGGCCGCGTGTGTGTTGGCGGTGTGTGTGTGTGTGTGTGTGTGTGTGTGTGTGTGTGTGTGTGTGTTCGCTCTGCAGCGTCAGGCCACAGCTCGGCTCGCGCCGCGTTGCTCGCGGATGACTTTGCTTATGTGCACGTGGGAGCGTGTGAGCATATGTGCCTCAGTGTGCTTTTTGCTCTAACAAGTGCGTCCAAGCAGAATTTACAAACAAGTTGTGACTCAGGGGGATAAAGTGCCGACGCCGGCGATGCCGCCGGTCACGATCGATATCGGGGGGGGGGGTTGCCAGATCTGAATCGATAGTTAAAGTGACAAGGGTTTGCCAGATCTGGAGCAAAGCAGTCAGGTTGGCACATTGATTCTCTTCCCCCCAGAGAGCAGGAGCTGATGTTGCTGCCAGAGGAGATGAGACGTGTGAGGCTGAACTCTCACTGACTGAACTGGCACACTGCAGGTGCCTGAGGATATTAAAGATTCAGAGTCTCTACAGATGTATGGATACACAGGACATGTACTGTGTGCCGGGTGATGCTAGAGGGCCCGATCCATCCACAGCACAGATGGTACAGTCCGTTCTGCTGTTAGTGCTGTTAGTCCTGGGCTGGTGAAAGTGATTCTAATGCGTCTCATTGTAAACACACGGAAGCCTTCAGAGAAGTGAGAGAAAAACAAAGAGTCATGAAATAAACACAGAGTCCTCCTCCTCTGGTCCACCAGAGTCCTCGTGGTGTAAACACAGAGTCCTCCTCCTCTGGTCCACCAGAGTCCTCGTGATGTAAACACAGAGTCCTCCTCCTCTGGTCCACCAGAGTCCTCGTGATGTAAACACAGAGTCCTCCTCCTCTGGTCCACCACAGTCCTCATGATGTGAACTCAGGTGGATTTTGAGGTATCTTAAAGATGATTAAATGGTGTCTTCCTCTTCCTCTTCCTCCCCCTCTTTGTCTCCCCTCAGGTTCAGACTGCTCTGCCAGTCCATCATCGCCCATAAGCTCTTTGACTACGTGGTCCTGTCCTTCATCTTTCTCAACTGCATCACGGTGGCTCTGGAGAGACCCAAGATACTGCAAGGCAGTCTGGTGAGGGCTGTTTCCTCCGTATCACTATTGGTCTCACACACAACTTTAAAGAGGATTTAGTTTTGAATTGGCAGAATCTTCCTCTTCCACCACATCATTTCAAACTGCCTCCAACCAGTTTGATATGAGAAGAGACTCAGTAATGATCATTCTGCTTGTAATAATGTAATAATGACAACTTTCCAACGTGTTTTATTGGAAACATATGGAAGCCCTGAGAGGAGAAGTCTGATTTGAATCCTTTAATGACTGAGGAGAAGCTTCTGTCACTACATCTCTTTATCTGTCAAACCTTTGAGGAATTCTTCTTCTTTTATCATGATTGAGGTTTTGTTGTTGGAGGCTGGAGTCCATCACTTCAGCCCAATGCATGAGCTTTAATGAATCCTACAAATGATTTAGAAACAAGCGATTAATGAATTGATTAATGATTCAACCGTCGCTGCTCTGAGCTCTCCCTGGCATCAGGCAGCACCAACGTCTTCTTCAAAGCAGCTCTTTCAAAGATCTAACTGTGATTTAACAGCAAACACACCGACGAGTGAAGTCCCATGTCCTGCTGTGAAGCTTCTGAGTAAACACACATCCAGCAGTCAATCCCTCTGCTCTTCTTCTCTTCTTTTTGTCTCCTTTAAATTCTTCTTCTCCTCTTTTCTCCGGTCCTTTAAACTCTTTTCATTCCTCTCCTTCTGTTACAGGAAAGGCTGTTTCTCACAGTTTCCAACTACGTCTTTACGGCCATCTTTGTGGCGGAGATGACCGTCAAGGTAAAGCTGTCCTCGTCCTCTCCGGTGTTCTGTTCCCGTCTCCACCTCGTTATTCACCTCCCTCTCATCTTCTGTGCATTCTTCCTTTTCTCACCTCTTCCCGGCTTCGCCTCCTCCTCTCGCTCCTTTTCCCTTCTTTCCTCTCCTCATTTCCTAGCTGGCCTTCTCTCCTTCCTTACCTTTCTCTCTCTCTCTTCTTCTTTTCATCTGCAGATTTTATTCTCTCCGTCGTTTCTCTCTTCTCTTGACAATTCTGCGCTTCAATCAGTTGCACACGTTAGCCATTAGCGATGAGCAGCTAGATAACGGAGCTAATTATAGAAGGCTATCGCTCCTCAGCTGGCCTTCAGCTACTCCTGGACTTCCCATCGATAAACACACACACACACACACACACACACACACACTCTCCTTTTAATCCACTAATCTGCTGTCCAGAAGACAGTCCATCATCCGTTATTAGGACCCTCGTGTCTCCAGGCGTTTTCCGTGCATTGGTAGAAACCCTGTGGTGATTTATGTATGAGCAGGATAGTGAAGCACGATGATCTAGACGCTCTCTCTGGTTCACATGTGCACATACGTGCACCGGGCCCCTGGATGAACGTCTCTCCTGTATCTCCATCTCCCTCTTTGCATCTTTATTTACTTCCATTCCTTCGGCCGTCCGATCGCTCATATTTTCATGTGCTCATTTGATTCATTTCATTCTCAGTTCTGTATCTGTCCCTTATCGTTCTCTCTGCTCGTTTGTAATCCAATCAGCCGAGCTCCGGTGCTATCTGAGCCCGGTTTCGGTCTCCGCAGCTCATTCTATCGTTGACCTCCACTCAAAGTCTTTCTGCTGTCGTTGAACTGCCGCAAAACCAGGCCACCGACCCTCCACCGAGCTCCATCACAGCTGTACTGTACTCGTGACCTCACTGAGCAGTAATAGTCCTCAGCGCTGCTGTAAAGGATGTTCTCCTTCATGAGCTGAGCCGAGAGCAGCAGGCAGCTCATCTTAAGCATGAACTTACATTTTACTGGACAGGACTAGTGGCTTTATGTTTGCTCTGCAGATATATCATCACGCTTCTAGAGCGCTCTCTCGTGTATATTTACTGATGTTTATTTACTTTCATTTATATTTTCTCTGTTTGAAGCAGTTCATGGCGTTTCCTCCAGATGGGACTTTATTTACTTCTTTCATTCCGTGCTTACGACCTTAATAACTCACTCGTTTACTGATCGTTATGCTCTAATACTCAAACTGTAAGTCATTCAGCGTTACTGTAATATCCCTGTCTGCTTTCCCCCTCTAACTAGTTCCTCCCAATCGTTAGACGTATTAGTCGTCTTGATCTTTGACAGAGTATCAGAATAAAATAACTTCATCTAGTTTCACACCACCTTTATTCTAATAATCATGTTTGAACTAGAAGCAGCACATGTGACCTGTGTTCTTGGGAACATGTCCACAGTACGTGTGCTCTGTGTGAATGCATGTTCTAGTGTTTTTAAATAATGTCAGATTTTTATTTTTATTATTACTTCAACAAAACTTGATGATTGTAACGATCTCTTGCAGAGCTTTTGTGTTTTTACATTACAGTCATTTAGCAGACGCTTTTATCCAAAGCGACTTACAATTCAGAGTCTATCACATTTCTACACCGTAGGCACAACCACGGGAGCAATTTTGGGGTTAAGTGTCTTGCTCAAGGACACATCGACATGCGACTAGCAGAGCCGGAGCCGGGGATCGAACCACCGACCCTCTGATTGAAAGACGGCCTGCTATCCACTTAGCCACAATCGCCCCCAGGTTTCTCAATTTCTGAATTCTTCTCTCTCGCTGTATCTCCCATTCTCTCTCTCTCGCTGTATCTCCCATTCTCTCTCTCTCTCTCTCTCTCTCTCTCTCTCTCTCTCTCTCTCTC